GTTAATGATTGGCTGATTGACAGATCCTCGCTAGAACAAAAAGGACTGGCAGAAAGATGGTGTAAATTATGTAAAACAGCTTTCCTAAGTAGAATCTATGCTGAAACAATAGAACACATTTTTATGCAATGTCCGAGATCAGTATGGCTTTGAAGGTGGTGGGATCGAATTTGGTCACAGTTAGTCCCACAGATTCCTTGGCCATGGAGTTGGAAAGTTATTCATTTGGAGACCTGGAGTCAGACTCAGAATTGGTGGGAGAAAATGAGGAGTTTATGGAAAATCTTTTCCGCATGGGAAGGAGAGCGGTGATATGGGCTATATGGGTGAGGAGGTGCACGTATGAATAGGAAGGGGCTAGGCTTGATGGTCCAGAATTCACAGAAACTATTAAACAACAAGTTCAAATGGATATCTTATCCAACTGGGAACGTATAAAGAAAAAGGTTCAATTCCTGTCAGATAAAGCAGAAATACAAATGCATTTTCGTAAATTTAGCCGTAAATGGCTGGGCGAAAACCAGAGATAGAGAATTGGCTGTGTCACGTGGAATGGGGCTGAGAATGAAGATGACGATGGATTGAAAAAAGATTATAAACTGGTTTTTGAGGACTGAACTTCCATTGATGCTTCGGTCCCTATGCGCCCTTTGTCAGATTTCCCGGCTCCCTTTCCTTCCCCTGTAACAGCCCTGGTTCCAAGCTCTTGGTATGGATTATAGATTTAACACTACTAGTTTTAACAAATTTATCTGGCGTCCGGTAAATGGATGAAGAGGTAGTGTTACTTTTTCTGCGGGATGGAAAAGGGTGCGAGTGGGAGTAGGGCGGACTATTGTTTTCAATACCAGATTTGAGGGTCTCCTCATAAGGGACGTTGAGACCGGTTCTTAGCAAGAGTGTTTTGGTTTGGCCATTCCGGGTAGACTGTGAGGACCCCGACCTCAAATTTTCATATTCGTAATATCAGCCTTGGGCACCGGGCCCTTCATATACTGCGTGACTGAAGGAGGGCTCCACCCAATGAGATAATTGCACAACAGCGAGCGAAATACGAGGTCCGTTCGACCATGCTTCAACCAGGGCTGGGTCGCTAGCCCTGGTGCCAGTCACTACTGTTCGGTCCAAGTTACCTGCCCATTGGTAGGGTAATGGTACTGAGTGCTGGTCACACTTAGGTAGGATAGTAGGGATCGGGGATGCGCTAGGAATATTGACGCAAGGATGGAAGGGGTGGTGGCCCCGCTGCCTCAGAGCACCCACAGCTGACCACGCCCGACAATCAAATGTGTGCCTAGTAACTGACCTCTACAACACCCTGGACTCAAAAAAAAAAAAAAAAAAAAAAAAAAAAGTGCAAGAAACGCAGCACCGAGAGACTTACACCCCGCCCATAGAATTAGGAACAGGTGATGAGAGTGAGCCTTAGTATAGTCTGTGGTCCGTGTTGGTAGGCCTCAGGGGCTAAGAGTAGAGACTAGAAGGGGGCACGTTGCTAGTTGCAGATCTGGGGCGGTCAACCACTTGGCACGGGAGGGGCTAGGATGTGGGATCCCCCTTAGGACAGCTTGCCATTGAAATGGAACACTTGACGAGAGTGAGGCTTAGTATGCTCTATGGCCGATGTCTGTCTGAAAAAACTAGGACCTTACAGAGCACCCCTAGAAATAGGAACAGTTGATCTATGGCCGGTGCTTGTAGGGTTCCTGTGTTGTGACGTCCAACCTCACGCCCAGCATGACTTCCTGATCGAAGTAGAGTGTGGGCCTGGAAGTGAGACAAGGGGTGTGCCAAGGATTTTTGGAAAAGTGGGGGTGGAGTCCCAGGTCAGAACTGAGATCTACTGTGGCAGAGTTTTTCGGGGGCACGAGTGCAATTTGGCGGAGAGGGCGGACCACTTCCGGTCATAAGGCAAATGGCATGCGCGGGCCATTCAAGGCCCCGCGATCCATCGGTTTTGAGGACGGCGGTTCGCTGGAAGGTCCCTCTGGGATGGGTGGGGTTCCGATGAGTCAGGCCGTCGGAAGTTGCCACGTGGTGCCGGTCGTCGTACGTTCTGGTTGGGCCCTCGCGGTCCCAGGGTTCTCTGGTTGCCGCGTTGTCGGCAATTTCCACAGGGCGTGCTGGGCCAGTAACGGGCTATGACTTTCCACGAGATGACCCTGAGTTGGTGATACGGGAGAAGAAGACGGAAGGGAGGGAAGTTAGTGGAGATAACGACGAAGCCGGGGGAGATAAAGTAGTGGGTGTGGTCTGAAGTGGGGAAATCAGAGCACTGGGGGTCGCTGGTGGTGGCGCAATGAAACTCCCAAGGACACAATCGATTCTCTGTTAGACAAGGGTATCTCTGTCGGAGGCTTTCCTCTATCCAAGGGGTAAAATAGTCCGGGTCGTACAACAACGACTCTGAGCTCTCGGAGTGTGTCATTATGTCATCGCAGAGCTGCGAGACGCCTAAGGGCGGGTCTGTGCCGATTGCGATCACCTCGTGCGCGCACGTGCTGGCTTCGCGAATCGAGCCGCGCTTACTCGTGTTCACACGGGATGATTGGTTCGTCGCAGACCTCAAATGGCCGTATCCACTCAAGCAGTATTCCTTCAATCAATGATCCTTTTTGAAATTGTCAAATTGACGCACGGGGACACGTGTAAATGCGCAGATCAGGTCGTGTTTACACCCGTGTTCGCACGGTGTTTGCGGGGCAATGGGCATTCGATCGTCTAATCACTCCGTAATTTTCGAGCATGCATAATGCAACAATCACAACAGTTCAATCAAAACATAAACAAAAATGGAAACAACATTGATGACTATGCAAAATTCCTACCCTTCATACGAGTACATCAAGACAAGAAACAAAGCAAGAATCGGGTACGAGAATCAGCAAACAGACATAACATCCATTCATCCATTCATTCAGCAACACCATATCCGAGATGGGAAATCGCAAGGACAAGTGTGGGGGAAAACCAAGTCCAGATTCCGAAAAACAGAATGGGCAAATCACCCGGAGCCGAAATCAAAATTTATATACACGAGACATGAGGGAGAAAAAATAAAAGAAACAACAAATCCGCGTCCATCAACCTCATCTCCCTCTTCCTCTCTTCCTCTATTTCTCTCTCTCCGATGCGGACAGTCCGTCGTCGCGCACCAACCCACGAAGTCGTCACCCCGCTTAGTCCTCCCGCACCCATCGGGTTCTCCCGCGCCCACAGTCCGTCATGACCCCCGTTAACGCCGCGCGTTTAGCACCAGCTCGTCGGGTCGCCCGACTCCTGCTCTACTGACCTCTTACTTCGCTCGTATGCCGACCGTCTCTTGATCGCGCAACCCCGAGCTTCCAACAGCTGGTTAATAGCGCAGCCGGAATTTATAGCGTGCATGCAAGCGCGAAGAACACGGAATTACAGAGACTTAGAAAAAAGATTAGAGAAGGGACGCCTACGTTCTGCATGGCCCAATCGCGGCGTGGGGGACGTAGCCACTCTCCACGCATCGATCCGATCATGCAGAGCGCGACTACCAAAACTCAGTGAAAAGAAGGAGAAGAAGGGCGGGAAAGGCGAAGCTCAAGAAGAAAAAGATACAGTTACAATGGTCGTAATGACGCCTGCCTAAAATTACAATTACACACACGATTAGAGGCGCCGACTAATCAGAGTTCCGTTGCGGTCGCATAAAGAAGCGCGTAAGCAAAAAACGCCGCGCGGCAAAATAAAATCCTAATTACAAAAATTCCTAAATTCCTAACTAATGCGAGAAAAGTGAAAAGCACAAGTTTAGGAAAGAAAGTCCGAAATTCCGAGAGCCGTATAGGCTCGACAAAATCTGAAAAGGAATTCAGAAAGGAAAATTCAAAAAGGACGAAGCAGAATTCCCGCGACATGTCCGCACCTAAAAGGTCCGAAACCGAAACAAAGAAGAGACGTCAACATTTATTATGTGCGCGCATGACAACGCGCCATTCACACAGCCCGACAACCAATCGATCGTCCTTGAACTCACCCGACCCTGAGCCCAACCATCCGAAAAAGAGACGATGAAAAAGACGAAGAAACAAGGGCACTGATGCAATTTTCCGCTGATCCCGATCTCCCGTAATTGACCCAACCTTCCCAGCTTAGGACGCCTCATTGCAACCGCGCAGAAAATCGCGCACCATAGAAAGTGGTTCGTCACATATGTGACGCCCAGGGGGTTTCAGTATTAGCAAGCTCCTGCTTGCTTGTTGACACGTGTCGGTTTCTCTAATCGACCGACACGCGGAGCTTTTCTCTCTATGCCACTTACCGTTGGAATGAGTGTGGACGTCATCCATCGTATCTGTACTACAAATTCCTCAAGAAGGGCCATTGACAATCCAAGGAGGGGATTACACGTGCCATTGCCATGACGCGTGTCCATCAATCATACATCAGCGAGCGCCAGGGAGGGGAAAAGGGAGATGGTACATGGAGGGATGGCGAGGGGGAGGGTTGATTGGTAGCGGGGGAAGGAAGCTTTCCATTCCAGCCACCGTCACCGGGAGTTCCTGATAACGAACGATCCGGTGAAAGCGGGGGAATTGGTTGCCAGTGTGAGGGAGGGATGCAAGGTAATCGGGGTAGAGAGTGGTAAAGGTTTGGAAGAGCGCCACGTGGAAGTGATTGTGGTTCTCACAAGAGGGGATAGTCCCCGTGATCATGCAGTATACCTCGATCATATTGTGGCCTCGCCATGTGGCGCTAAGGAGAAGGACATGGAGGCAGAAGAGGCGGGTAGCGTAGAAAAAGCATAAGGTATCGATGAGGAAGGGATTGCTAGGGAAGGTGACGTGAGTGGTAATCTGGCGGAAAGAGAGGTGGTCAAGGGGACAGCGGGATAATGACCGGGGACGAAGCCCGATGCCCCACATCGGTCCGTGGACGAATTGGTGGACGGTCGGTGGTGGAGGGGGAGGGGGATCGGCTTCGTCGCCGCCTTGCCGGTGTGGCCGAAGTCTCGGCAGCTGGGTCCCCATGTTAAGGCTTGGGCGACTCCGGATCTCGCCCAGGATCGTCGAGGGTCGGCGGACCTGCTCCACTAGCTAATTCCAGCTGTCGCTTTCCGGCCACGATCCCCCCTCTCTTGCGCGCCGCCTCGGGGTCTTCCGCCTGTTCCGCTTCGTTCGGTCGAGCTCCTCCGCGCGCACCTCCTCCTCAAATCCTTCCCATTCTGACTCTTCTAGCTCCTCCTGATCGTCTTGTTCTTCTTCCTCCTCCTCCTCCTCACTTTGCTCCCCTTTGTTGTGCTCGCTGTAACTCCCCTCCTCGGGAGTTTCTTCCTTTGCGTCCTCCTCTTCAGCTTCTTCTTCTTCCGAGCTTTCCTCTTCCGCTTCAATCTCTACCTCCTCGTTCTCGGAAGCCGTTCGATCTTGAAAGAAGGCGAGATCCACTATTTCGTATGGGCTCAGATAATCGCGCTGTGACGGTGGGTTGCGACCACTTCCCGGTTCCTCCAAGCACGCTGACCGCTGAAGATATGGCGCCAAAGTCAGCGTGAGAACGTGCGGGACTAGGCTGTTGTCGCTCTGTGAGACAATCTCAAGTCGGAGATCGTCGGCCAGCTGCGCGAGGAGGACCGTTAGCTCTTGCACGATCAATTGGCGATGGTCGGGCCGCACCGATCCGAAAAGGAATCCGAGTAGATCGCCCTCCACTCCCGTTTCCACGCCTGGATGATAAGCAACTCAAGGTACTCAGCCCACTGGTGGTGATCCCCGTGCCGCATCCACGTGATCTTCACCCCGACCAGACACACCAACAAATCAACGAAATGCTCTCGCCAACTCCTCCACTACTGGGCATCAAGGAGGGGGACAGCGAGTGATTCCAGACAAAAGGAGAAATGCGGATGAACTCCGGATTGCCAGAAGGTGGGAAAGAAGGAAGGGAGGTCGAAGGTAGAGATTGGGGACGGGTTCATTGGGGATGTTGGAAGGGGATAAGTTCAGGGAGCAGCACCGCCGGCTCGTGCTGGAAAGCTCGGATCCCGTCGAGGTCGATGTCGTCCGTGGGGAAAAGATTATCCCCGTGGGGCGTGAGCCAACGATTCCACTCTGACGCCAACTGCTGCGCCCGCAGCCGAAGCGTCGTCTTGATAGCCGTATGCCGCAACCGCCTGATGGTGCTGATGTCGCTACTGAAGGCGACAATCGTAGACACGTGGCTGATTCTGGGGGCTGATCGTCGATGAACCGCTACCGCCTCCGCCAAAACAACCGCTCGGGGACTGCCTGCAAATCGAAACTCAGCTGTTGCGTACACTCCCTCAGTACAGAAGAATTGCGCGAGTCGCCAAAGACACGGGCTAAGCCGCGGATGATGGACCTGTCGGATCGCAAAGATGTAACACCGTGGCCTTAAGAGATGGTCGCCGAGGGCTCGCTCCGTGAAAAAGCTCATGGTGATAGTGACGGGGACGGGGTATCTGGGAAAGAACGAGATGAAGAAGGACATATAGGTGATAAGAAGTCGTCGTCCTCTTCTGTAGCGAAGGAGAAGTCAGGTGGAGGCGAAGATGGGGAAGAAGGAAGGGGACGTAGCCTGAGATAGGACACGTGGCGGATGATCGGACGAGTCAATCGGCTGTCGGAGACCTCAGGCGCAAGCCGTACAGTGTTCACGCCGTTCGGTCCGAGCTCAATCATGCGGAATCGCCTGAAGAATCGTGGCGCTAGCTTACCCTGACGAGCACATTTCCGTACCTGCACGATGTCCCCCAATTTGTACTGGGGCCGTGGACCTGTGTTCCCGTTCTGGGCCTCGCAGCTTCGGACCTGCTGACCGTGGGCCAACTCGGTCATTTTCTGGCGTTTTCGGGCTGACCTTGGGAGGGACCGTTCCATTAGCTCTAAGTGCCGCTTGGCCTTGTCCTGAACCGTGGCCCTTATGGGCCGACGGTTTAGCGTGGATTCATCGGGGAGGCTCGGTATCGAAACGCAAGCGACGCTATTGGTCCTCAGCTGAAAAGGGCTCAGGCCCGTCGATTCGTGGGGCATTCCGCGATGGACCGCCAATATGTGATCTACGATATCGGGCCAGGGCCTGGGGTCCCGTGCCACGATGTTTCGTCGCAGTGCTGTCTTTATCACCCTATTCATGTTTTCTACCAGCCCATTGGATTGTGACATGTGAGGTGCGGTATTCTGCACCGCGACACCGTGTATGACCAGGTTCCTTAATACTTCCCTTCTAAATTCTGCCCCATTATCGGTCAGGATTTCTTTCGTATCCTAATGCATCCCGAGAAAACGGTTAACATACCGCGCGATTTCTACGGCTTGTCGCGTGCGACACGGATAGGCCTCGATCCATTTCAAAAAATGGTCGACAAATACCAATAGGACTGAATATTCACAACTATTAGGACTAGGAGGTACCACGATATCGGTTGTATCCATACTCACCCTCTCAAACGACCGCTCAACTATCGTTGGTACTATCGATCGTGGCGGCTAGATCGGCGTCTTGTCAGCGGCGCAGACTTGGTAGTTTGCGACGATGAACTTCACATCGTCCTGAATATTGGACCAATACCATTTGTTTTTGTCGATTGCCGACTCCGTAATCCATACGGCAAAATGGGCTGCCGTTTCCTCGTGTGCTGTCTTCACCTAGTCGTACCTCATGAACGGGTGCGGCACAACCATCCAAATCCCACTGCCGTCCGTCTTCTGCTTCTCTAACCTACCCTCAACCCATCGATAATCCCGAGCCCTTTCATTAGCCCTCCTCCAATCTTCCTTGGTGAAATCCTGGAGGGGGTTATCCACTAAGGTAGCAATCAGAGCGATATCGGTCCATACTTCTGCCCTTCTAAACTTCTGGGTTTTCTCCAATCCTTCTGACGTGGCGTCCAAAAAGCGAGCCTCGGTCGGGATCTTGTCAACCCGACACAAGGGGCATAGCCACAACTTACTGTCATTTCTGTATTGGATGCACAAGCCACGGGCTCGTGCAACACACTATCCATTCTGCATAGCCTTCCCTGTTAGGACGCATGGAGACCAAATATACGCGAGAAATGGCTTCGCAAAAATAGCAAAATTTATTAGGCAGGGAGAGAAGAGATGAAGAGGAGAGGGGAGAAAGAGGTGTTACAGGATTACCTCCGTCACCCATTGCCACCGGTCCGCTTCTTGCCACGTGGGAGAACTGCCACTTGTCCGTACTTAGGCCCGTTCGCTGGTTCTGACTCCTTCCACGGAGTGATTTCCTCACCTTTGGGTACTTTAGCAGGCCGATGCAGACGTGAGTCCGTCCGCGTTCCCGTGTCTTTCTGTCTTCCGATGGATGATGTCAAAGTTGTACTCCTGTAGACGTACCGCCCATCGTCCAATCATGCCCGTGTAATTGGTGAGCTTCTTCAAAGCCAGCAGAGGCTCATGATCCGTCTCGAGGCGGAACTTATGTCCGTAGAGATACGGATGGAAGTGTTGAATTCCCTAGACTACTGCATAACATTCGCCTTGAGGTGCTGAATCATTCCTCGTTCGTCTGACACTGTTTGTGACGCGTACTCTATGACGTGTTCGCGACCATCGTTCCCCTTCTGTGCCAAAATGGAGGAGATCGGTTCCGGTTGCCAGTCCGTTATAAGAATAAATTGCTTGGCAGGGTCCGGTCGGATTAAAACAGGTGCAGTGACCAGGGCCTCTTTAAGTGCATCAAAGGCTTGTCCACACTCAGAGTCTCACTGCAGAGGCTGGTCCTTCCGAAGCAGGTTCGTGAGAGGCCGAGCAATCGCCGCAAATCCTTTGATAAAATGGCGGTAGTACGACGCCAGGCCTAAGAAGGCTCGAACCTGCGTCAGCGACGTGGGAACAGGGGCTTCTTTCACAGCCGCAACTTTTTTGGAATCCGGTCGCAGCCCTCCACGTGTCATTTCGTAGCCCAAGAACGAAATTTCCGAGAGGAAAAATTCGCTCTTCTCGAGTGCAATCTTGAATCCAGCGTCTCTTAGTGCTCCCAATGTCCACTCGATGTGTTGTGCATGTCCGTGATAGGTCTCCGAGTAGATAAGAATATCGTCCATATGTACGATCACGCAGAAGTTAATCATTCCCTGTGTCAGCCGTGTCTTGTTGACGAAGCTTTGGAACGTCACGTCCATTGCTCGCTGAAACGTGGCAGGCGCGTTACAAATTCCCATCGGACACCGAACCCACTGCCACGTGCCTTCAAACCGTACAAAGGCCGTCTTCGGCCGATTTTCCTCCTTAACCAGAATGTGATGGAAGTCATGCCGAATATCAAACTTACTAAAATAATTAACACATCCAATCGCATCCAGCAAATCATCAATCCGGGGGAGGGATACACATCTTTAATCATGATTTTATTCAGTTTGCGATAATCGATGCATATGCGGATTGATCCGTTCTTCTTCGGTACTAACACTACTGGAAATGACTATGGTTCGGTGGCGGGTTCCATCCACACGCTTGCTTCGAATTCTCGAATTCGTTCGAGAGCCTTTTTCCGTTCTATCAGGGAGTATCGGTAGGGCTTGCAGTGGATGGGGGAATGATTTCCCGTCTGAATTTCATGTTGAATAACCATCGACAATCCGGTGTCAGTGTCCGTTACGCTAATCGCTCCCTGATATTCCGTCAGAATGTCCGCAATCAAACGATGAATCTCATCGGGTACGTACTGTGGAACATGTAACTCGAAAAGCTGGTCCTAGATCCGTACGTCGATCTGCTTCGTGCGTGCTTGTTTCGCCACATCGGGTGGTGGCGCAGAGATAAACGAATGGTCCGATCGCCAGGAAAACACCGTGGCCATCATCTGGGCGTCTTCCTCCCGGATGGCCACGTGTCCTTCCGAGGTGATCCCATCGCAGATATCTTGCCATGGTACGGTTTTAGTTGCGATCTTAACTCCGAGCTCATCTGATTCAGCCTCGAAACGCCCATGGGGTTCCAAAGAGCTGGCTTCCGCCCCCAAGCGTAACAGTCGCACTTCTTTTGCGGATGACAGCAAAGATCCTGGTAGGCCCGTGATGTCGCAAAAAACTCTCTTATCGTTGTATTGGGCGAGGAGAGGGAAAATTCCTTTGTACAGGGTTTGAGGGGGTTCCAAAGAATCGACCATCCTCGAAATTTGTACGAGGGGTTCACCCAAAATCATTGCTTTGGTCCTTTGGATATTTCGACTGGTTAGATGCATCGTTCTTGCGATCGTTCTGGGCGGCGGGTAATAAATGCGCTGTCGTGCTAGCTTCATAATTTCAGGATCATTTTCGTCACCGCTTTTCGCATCCTTCGATGATAGCCCATCGTCTGCGGAATCTTCCCAGGTGATCATGCGAAGAGTTCCCGCTATCATCGGAGAAACTCGCGGGACTGCGTTGATGGTAGTACGAAAGGTCAACCTCATAGGTACAGCATAGGGCTTCCCTCCTGTATTTCGGAGGATGATTGACCGTCGCTCGAAATCCAAGTTTGCTCATAACGCCACAAGAGCAGGAAGGCCGAAAAGAACGTCGTAGGTATTTACGTCTAATACCATGACGTCTCCTAACGCATGCACCTTTCCTAATCGAAAAGCGACATTGGTCATTCTTCCCACTATTTTAATATTTTCTTCGTCTGCCAAAATGAGCTGATCCTTTTTCGTAAGCATGATCAGATCGTTTTTTTGTGTAACCGGCTGAACGTGCTAAACGCGCGTTCACGTTCAAACGCGCGCGTTCATACCCCCCGGGATCGCGTTCAATCGCGTTCAAACGCGCTGCGCGCCACGTGACACGAAAAAATTGAACGCGACCCTAGGGTGCACGTGCTCGCGTTAAGGACCACGAGGTGGTGGGCCTCGTTCAAGGAACCCCAAAAATGCAAAAAAAACATCCCCCCCGAGACCTACCCCACCTACCATAGGTGAAAGGTCATTTTTTGGGGGGGGGGGCGGGGGAATCCCCGAACACGACTGAGACGGCCCATGCAAGCTATCTGAAGGGTCCTTGCAGCCATGTAGCGCAGACCCCCCCACCAAAATCAAGGCAGGCAGTGAATATGAAGTAGAGCTCGAGCTGGCTGAATATATACTCAAGATTCGACTTCAGGTCTGTGTTTCAGTAGTTATGGGTTGCTCACGCAGCTAGGGCCTGCTGGTCTCTGCATGTGACTCTTAGGGCTTGGCTGCACTACTCACCAAATGTGCAAAACTAGAATGAATCTTCTGCAGAACATGGAATAATACGTTTGTGCATGTGGTGAGTACAGGCCCTTAGGGCCACTGCATGTATTCCTAAGAAAAGAAAAACCAGAAAAAAAGATAAACGAGAAAAAAGAAAACTGAGAAAAAAGAAAAACGAGAAAAAAGAAAACAAGAAAAAAAATAAAAAATATGGCGACGTATTATTCCATGTTCTGTAGAAGATTCATTATAGTTTTGCACATTCGGTGAGTAGTGCAGCCAAACCCTAAGAGTCACGTGCAGAGACCAGTAGGCCCTAGCTACATGAGCAACCCATAACTGCTGAAACACAGACCTGAAGTCGAATCTTGAGTATATATTCGGCCAGCCGAGCTCTATTTCATATTCAATGCCTGCCTTGATTTTGGTGGGGGGGTCTGCGC